TACCATAGCTAAAAAAGCCACCAAAACCCAGAAGTGAATACACAACTACATTTCAATAACAGAATAGCTCCACAACTTCAAGGAGGGAAAAATGAAGTTTGTAAAAAATGAATTACCACAGGAGAGTATATGTCAGTCTGAAGCAGAGATCCTGCCCAGGCCTTGTCTCCCTGTTGATGCCTGGTGGAGGTGAGGCCTTTCTGTTCAGTGTCTGGGTGGAAGTAGTGTGGCTGAGGAGGAGGGAGGAGGTTAATGCAGCCGTGCTGTGTCAGGCCTCCTGCCTCAATGGCAGCCACTGTTCCAACTTGTTGGGAGGAGGAATGTGGATGTTGAGACTGCCTCTGTTATTACAGGTTCTTCTGAAATTTTTCTGTAGGTAGTTTCAGAGCCTTGCTTAAGAGGCTGGCTAAAATGTTCAAGATTGTGGAAATTCTCATAGCTATCCTGAGGTTATAGAGCCTGCAGCTTATTACGTTTAGATATGTATTAATTGCTTGTGCAATTGATGTCCTTGTAAATGGTCTTAATATATTCCAGGAAAGTGCATTTAAAATTGTCTGTTCTTAGTACTGAATGACAGAAGGATGTTTGGGCAATTTAAAATTGTGTTATGCAGACCAACTGCTTATTTACTTCAACAAGTAATCAAATAAATGTGTAAATCACACATGATTAATTACCCTCGACAGATTTGTAATTTTTTTTGTGTGTGTTTATATGAATTGTGGTTTGGGTTTTCTCTAGATAAAACACTAGCAGAAATTTGAACTTGTTGCTGAGGTTTGAACAAAGGCTTCACACTGAAATGAAAACCTGACAATCTCTTTTTTTAAAAGAGAATAAAAGCTGGAATTCTTCATGGTGAGAAATGCAGTATCAACACAATCAATCTAGCAGCATTGCGTTGTAGCTAAAAACATGCTTAAATCCCAAGCCATACAGGTACTGTTTCTGAGTGAAACATCTTTCATATAGTTCTAAGATGAAATTACCCCTGAATGAATAGCATCTTCATTTATCTTCAAAACCTCTGTGCTACCAGTGAATCTACTCCTCCTGTATTCTACAACAAGAATTACATTATACCATTAGAGCAGTGTTGTGCTGCAGTGTAAAATAGATTGTTTTGGAGAATGAACGTGGCTTCGCTATAAATTACGCTCACAGGTACAAAGGAATTTGTAATTTTGTTTAAAATAGTCACAAATATAATTAAGCTCTTAATTTATGTTAAACTACAAATGTGGCCATTACCATAACTGGATTAGGAATTTAATCTGTCACTCAAAGAATGATACTGAACAGTTTTCATTTATAATCTTAGACACACTATTTCAGTTACAGGGTCTGCAGCAGTCTGATATGAAAACTGAATTATTCTGTAGGTTTGTTCATGTTTTTTAATTTTAAAATGTGTTCCTGCAATAAAGTAGAGAATAACTCTTTAGTTGTCATCACATGTTGTCCTTTGTACGCTCGTGAAATAATGTAAAAATGAAACCAGAAAACGCCTTTCACTCTTTCTTCACAACAGTATTGTGTGAGTGCTTTTAGAAGTGCTGCTGAATAAGAGATGGCTTGGAATGGCTCATTCTTTATTAAAAACTAATCATGAATATATCTTCTTCAAATGAAGCCTGGAGTGTGCCATCTGAAAATAGTGTTCCTCATGTGGGGATGTAAGTTGTGAACTATTTGGGTCTTGGCATAAGTAATTTCATTCTTGCCTCTGAACTTAGAAACTGCAATCTGGATATGATTTACATCAAGTTGTAACTCATTTTTAATGAGTATCTGTGTTTGCTCACATGCATTGTTCTGAGAGGAGACTGGAGGGGAAGAGGAGAGACCTGTGGTGGAGCTCTGACATGGTGACCCTCTGCCTGATGTGTGTTATGTTTCCAGCTGA